TCTCCCAAGATACATAGCTGCAGACCCTATTTTTCCTGTAGCAGCACTCTTGTAAAATAGAGAAGGAAAGGTATTAACAGCAAACAGTATGTTAGACTTCTTGACATATTTTATTGAGCCTGCTATGGTCAGAAAAAAAGGCAAGTAAAAGCACTTAAAAATAATTCAGATGTCTTCTCATACTTGAGTAGGTAGGCAAAACTCACTTAATCATAACATCTACTTTTTTCAAGAGCTCTGTGAAAGATTTGTAAGGCTCTATTCCAGCCAGGGTGGTGTGAGACCTTCCGAGGTTCAACTCAAGATCTGACCCTGATGGTTTTCAGTGTCAAAGAATTTATGGAGTCTGTTGTATAAGACCAGTTCCTGACAACACAGGTCAGTCTTGTATTAAACAAAACCACCTACTCCCTTGAAATAGTTAAGCCTGTGCTTGAGCCCTTCACTGACCTGAACCCTTATGAAGGGACTGGTAGGTATAAACTGGTAGGTTTATACTGTATGTATAAACACTGAATAGCACCTAAAATCATAATCATCACACTTCTTTTTTTGCTTTTGTTTTCCTAGTCCTGGCTAGTTGATGTGTTAACAGTTCTTTTTCTGTGGCATGCTTTGCTTTCCTACCTACTGTGTATTAAAGAAACAGGGAATCTTTTTTTAGTCTGGTCTTGTTTACCAAAAGGCAGCTGTTGCATTCAGCTGTTACTGGGCTTTTTTCATTAAAATAGTTTCTTACTCTCAAATCCACTGACAGGCTAAAAACATTGACATCTTACTGCATGCTTGTATGTAAACTTACAGGGTGACTTCTGGTAGCATGGGGAAAAAATGCAACTGCAATTTCTCTTTTGGTGAAGGGAAAGAGCTGTTCCTTGTTCTTCAGATGCAGCAAACCTGTGCGTGCTTAAATTACTGCCTTCTTTCATGATTTGGTAACAGACTGACATGCATTAGGAAGTTCTAGGTGTTGGTTTGTGTTTTGCTTGATTACCCAAAAGTCAACTCACAAGAATACTCAGTGTTTCAATTCCCTGCTTTGTCTCTGCAAAATAAACATTCTCATCATAGCAGAAATAACATGGTATACTTAAAAAAAATAATCATAACAGACCAGTGTTAGTTTTAATGCTTATAGATACATCTTTTTCTGTATCTAATTCAGGCACTCTAAATGCAAAAATGTTTCCTAATACATTTCAGTTGTGTCTTCTGTTCCCCAGTCCTGTTTGGCCCAGAGTGAGTGATGAGAAGGTAATGTTCTGCGTTTAGTAAAGTTTCATCGTTGCTTACACTGTTGTTCTATACTTAGTTTTGTGGGTTTAGGGAAATAATTTTAGGTCATCAGCAGTTTTTTTCTGATTATAGAAATAATATTTATCCACTAATTACATGTTTATACTGAGAAGTCAGAAAACACTTAGGAATAGAAGTATGCTAGAAAAGAGAATTTGTGCGGCAGGAAGAAATTGTACATGTGTGCAACAGTCCTCCCCGCTGTCTTAGCAAGTTCAGATGAGTAGACACAATTACCTAAAGGTCTGTATAGGAGATGTTGGTATCTAAGTCACCAAGCTGAGGTAGGATGGGACTTCTGGAGATCGTCTAGTTCAGCCCCCTGCTGAAAGCAGGGTCACCTAGAGCAGATTGCTCAGGGCTGTGTCCAGTCAGAGTTCATGTATCTACAAGGACGGAGTCTCTGCAACCTCTCTGGGCAACCTGTGCCAGCGTGTGGCCGCCCTTACAATAAAAAAGATGTTTTCTTATGTTCAGAAAGAACCCCACAACCTTTAAGAAACTCCAAGCAACATTAACTTAATTCAGGAGCAACTTGATCCTTGCTGCTTTTTGATACAAATTGTAGAGCCATAAATCCTGATTTAGTTTACATCTTAATTAATTGCTGGAGGTTTGCAAGAGATGTGGTTACTGTTCACCCAGTGGCATGCTGCTTAATCTGGAAAAATTCCAGCTGTGGTTAATAAACATTTGCCAACATAAAGCCTGCATTGTTAATTATTTCAAATTATTGAAATAATAATATATCTATATAGTTATTTACATTACACAGGTTTTTGTTTGTTTGGGTTTTTGTTTTTTTTTTTTTGAACTAATGTTTACTTGATCTTCATGTACTCAGCATCCAAGTCTGTTTGCTGAGGGAGCCAGGGTCAGAGGACACACAGAAGTGTGTGAATTCTTCGTTTCTAGATACTTGCATAAAAGGTCTGGAAGGGTACAGGTAGATGAAAAGAGCCCAAATCTTGATCAGGCCAAGAACAATTCCACAGAAATATGTGTTGTGGGTTTTTTTCTCATTCATCACGGCATCTTGTCTTTACTAATGAAAAGAGATCAATATTTAACATACATAAGGGTCACAGGAAAGCGAGGTGGTGATTTGGTCCTTCTGCTAGAGTAATACTGCATCAATTGCCTAATCAGAAGTAATAAAATGATATTAACAGGCTGTGAATTTTTTTAGGTTTATAAGCAGAAACAGAGTTGTCAGTGTTTTTCAGTAAGTGTAGCATGGAAGCCAGCTGTTACTTATAAATGACATAATTCAAGCCTTAACATGTGTGAAAATAAATAATAAATACTCCCCTTGGTTTTCATCAACAGGCCCGCTAGGTCTCCTCAAACATGAAGTTTATTAACTACTGCAAACTCATTCTGTGTGATGTAATGTCTTTAACTACTGTCTGTATGTAAAGTCCAGCTACTGCTAAATAGCAATTTTGTCAATGTCCAAGGTGTTTGATAACAAAAAATATTTAAGAAATCAAATTCAGTAACCGCATTTCTGTGATGGATCCCTAATGCCTTGTCTGCGCTTTAGCTCATCTATAACCCTTGCAGCACCTGCACTGCTGGAAATGTGTGGTGCTGGGGGAGCTTAACCCCGGCTGAGACAGTGGCACTCTTTGCCTGGGTGAGAGCTGATGTTCCTGGCTTTAACAAAGGGAGTGTTTTCCACAAAATACCTTTGCTGTCACCTCTGCAGCCTCAGCAAAAGCAGAGGTGGGATCGTAGGTCTCTGCCTGTATTCTGGGCAACTCAGAAGTAAAATTGCCTATGGCTGGTGAGTCCAGACGCTCTCACAAAAGTAAAATGTGTTTATTAGAAAATGCTAGAGCAGTTGCAGCTTGAAGTATGGGTAGAATAAAGTTTTATGTTTCACTGTCATCCTGATATGTTACGTGACTAAAAATTGGTTCTTTGAAGGAGTATTAGGTAAATAAAACTGAGGTGAACCTTGAGCTCACTGTGGAGCAAATGCATACCGTCTGAAGTAATAAAGATTCATTATACTGTTATGTTCTTCTTGTATATGATTGAGAAGTTAGGCACAAAGCTGCCCAACCCCAAGGCTTTCTGACTGGTTCGTGACATAGCTGAGAACAGACTTTGGAAGTCATGACCCTGCTTTTCTTACCTCTCCCCAGTTGTCTTTGCTGAGTGATTAGCTGATGACTCATGCCTTGCGCTTGAGGGTGAAGTAATGCTTCCTGAGTAGTCTTGTTTATTTTGTAATCTGTTACTTATTGTTTTAAATCCACTGGCTGTATGTGTGTGTATGTATATCTATATATCTATCCATCCGTCCATCCATATCTATGTATCTGTGTTTCATTGTCTGTAAAAAGAATCCTACTGAGGTCTTTATGAGCACCCAGAATATAACCATTCAGTTTTCACTGTTCAACCCTTTTTTTTTTTTTTAAGTCCTTTGCTGTTTCCTGCATTGGTTTATGTACATTATTGCATTATGCTTAAGCGTTAGATAACCATAGAAATGTCTGAAAAAGACAGAGGTCATGTCTCCGAAGCATTCTTTAGTTTTAGGGATGCCTTTTCTCATACAGCAGATGGTTCTGGGCTGCTGTTTTAGTCTGCTGCTCCCAGACTTCTTTCTGTACTATCCGCAACCAAATACTTGTAACTAAGCAAGCTCCAACTGGTGCTTGACAGAGGAAATTTGTTTTGTCAGAGATCTGGCACACTTAGCATGGATTTTTCTCAAAAGTAATTTGGGGAAATTAAAAAGTCAGCAGAATTATCTGTTGCAATCATAGATGGTGGCCCTGCATTTGTCATTATGGCAGCAGCACAGGCTGCAGAACAACCTTAATCTCCTAGGCCAGTCAAAGCAGTGGGATGTAACCAAGCATGAGCCTCGCAGCAGTTTAGCAGATAGCATATGCATGTTATGTATTTACCTTATAACCATATCAGAAGCTGTTACCATTTACTGTTACTTAAAACATATCAGATGGCAGTTTGAGTTTTGTTTATAATTACATCTGTGGGCTGTAGCAGACTGCTGTCTCATACAGATGCCCTGCAAGTGATACTGTATGTGGAAGTAATATTGTTTGAGAAGTTCATTTTTGTTCTACCATCCTAGATGACAATCTAAAATAATGAATATGTTTCTTTAAAAAACACAGCTATTTACAGTTTAAAAAAGCCTCAAACTGCCATAACAATGTAATATGCTATTATGATGGTGAAAGCAAATTTGCAAGAGACTCATTAATCTACATGACATGAATGCTTGAGTAAGAGAAGGGAGTGAAAAATAACAGAGATTAAATAACTTTCCCCATTAATTAGTCTGTGGCTTCTCTTATGCTTTCTGAAGTATTTTTATCTTTCATTTTGAGTTTGAATTTGTCACATTATATTGGTTCCTTCAGGTGCAAAAGTTTTACTGAAAACACAGAACATTACAAAAGACAAAGCTCTTTTGACAAAGTGTTGTTTATGGTGAACTCCTTGCAGGGAGACAAATGAGCAATTCATCTAGTCAGTGTTTAACTTTTGTAAGATGTCTGTTGGACAAATACAAGATCACTTCAACTGGTCTTGCAGAAAACAAAACCAAATTAGCCATTCCAGAAAAATAACAGCAGGGAGCACCTCTTAGTGTTGCAGCTTGTTTGTCGTAAATTACCAGATACTAATGTGTATTTTTTTTTTTTCCCCTCCTGTAGGTGCCTGAGATTATAAGCTCTATTCGACAAGCTGGAAAAATCGCTCGTCAAGAAGAGTTTCAGAATAATCTCTCAGATGTTGAAGACCCTTTTGCCAAAAAGTTTGAGGTGTTGTTCTGTGGACGGGTGACAGTAGCACATAAAAATGCACCTCCAGCACTCATAGATGAATGCATTGAGAAATTTAATCGTGCAAGTTGTACAAAAAAATCAGATTTCAACTCCTCATCCCAACAACATGAAACTGCCAATAACTTCGGAGGCTTCTCTTTCAGCAACAAATTGCGGTCTGTGTTCCAGCCCTTGGTCAGTGAAGAGGAGGAGAAAAGGCCGATTAGGAAATCCTTTTCTCAGCCTGGGCTTCGTTCCTTTGCTTTTAAGAAGGATTTGCAAGAGGGAAGCCATAGAAGTAACAGCTTTGTCAGGTCTTTTGAAGAAGATGCAATTTCACTGAACCTAAAAAGTCAACTTATCTATGGACACAGTGTTGTGCAGCCAACAGACATTGCAGAAAACCGGACAATGTTGTTTACGGTAAAGCAAGATTTGCAGGTCTTGGTGGCGTTTTCACATCTTAGAGTTTGGAATGGCAAACACCAAGGCAGATGTTCTGACAGATGGCAGTTACTTCTTTAATAACTTAATTGCAATTACCAGAGCTTAACTTAAACTTGCCTATTTCTCTGGAAAGCATTACCAGTCAGTCTAAATTGTCTTACGGAGTCAAAATAAGTTTATATTAAATAGTTTAAAACACCACAACCTGAAACATTGGGCTTCTAAAGACAGCTTTTAGAAAGCTACAGCAAGTTAGTAGGCAGTTACGCAACTGCAGAATGGTATGTACAATTACACTAACTAGTAACAGCAGAAATAAATTTCCAGGTGAATGAGTTACCTGTAACAAGAGCAGGAGGACCAAACCATGACTGGGGGCTAGTAGACTTTATGTCTTATCGTAAGCAGTGTAATTCATGAAGGTGTTGCTGCTGCCAACACGTCTGTGTAATGATGGAGTAGTATAGTAACTTCCTAGGCTACTCCACACTGGCCTCCACTCCTGTCCTGCTTTTGTGTGGCTAGCAATGCCTTTGCCTTGATAGGTGAGCAGCAAAAGTGTTTTTCAAGACCTGAGAAACAAGTAAGGATGTGTTATTTGTTCCTCTTATAATCCTCATGATAGGTAAGTTATGTAACATATTTTATATATCTTGTATCTTATGAACATAAGGCAAACCTGGAGCTGATACTGCAATGGCTGGCTATCATAAGGTCATCTTGGATCTGTCAGCTGCTGTTGGGGCTGGGAGTTTTGAAGGGCAGTAACAGAGTGGAGTAGGTGCAGTTACAGCAGTTTTTTTGGAGGGGGGAAAGAGAAGTGCTGCTTTAAGAAGGATTGTCAAACTGTTCTGTCTGTAAAAAGTAACACACAGAAAGAGGTGTAGTTTTAAAACTGATTTAAAACTTCTGTTTAGCCGTGGCAGGCTGGCATCAGAGAGAGAAGTGGAAGAAGGTGGAGAGAAATTCTGTGCCCCAGTAAAAACAATTCCATGTTTATCTTCTTCCCCTGAGCACGTATTTCACACAGAAAATATAGATGCCCTTTGTAATAATGCCTGATTTTTAAACAAATCCTGACTCCATTATTAATTCATGGCACATATTTTAGAGATAGGGAGATTATAGATGGACTGCTTAGGTCCAGATCCTCTTACTCCAGTGAGTGCATTTTTAATTTATATTAAATAGATGCAATAGTTCTCAAAGACAAATGCAGCTTCAACCTGAATATAATGTCAGTCGCCTGCTGACAGGCTCATTTCCAAATTGTGGGGCTCTGCTGATCTGGCTTTCTCTCTTGGGTTCCTTTTTGCCTGGGAAAATATTGTTTAGTGTGCACAGTTTTATTCTTTTGCCATTCAGCCAGTCTAAATTCAGCTGAATATAAGGAAGTGGAGTAACTGTGGTTTGTGCCTCTGGTATCCACAAACTAGCAGCTCGTGGCAGAGCTGAGTTTGTTGGTTAGCCATCCCCTGTGTTTAGCAGGTTCTGAAGAAGGGTGTGTATGCAACGTGTGCAGGTCTTCACCTTTGCTCATCAATTTCTGTGTGGCTACACATGAAATGCTTAAAAGTAACTTTATATCCAGAGGAAAAAATTTGTTTGTATTTTCTCAGTTAAAGTTCTTGGATTTTCACCAGGACTGCAGCAGAGGTTGGTTCGTGTATGAGGTGTGAAAAATATTCAAATGGGTTATCTGCTGACTCTCCTCACCTGGTTCAGACAGTCCTGATTTTGGTATCTCTTCCTGAAGAATTGCTTTCCTAGCCAATTTCTTGGGATTTGTTTTTTTTTTTATTTTTAGGCTTTTCTCCTGGCTGTATTTTGGCTGGATGGGGAGAAATGCATGTATTGGGGTTTTTTTTTCTCCCCTTGTTCAGCTGGCTTCAAATGATCCCTGCTGCCCTGGGACCAAGTGTGAAAGGAGTATGTGGGACTGAGCTAAGGAGCCTCTCGCTGCAGGGAGGGAACGAAGAGGTAGAAGGTGAATGCACAGGACCATTCTTAGACACACAGAAGTGGCACATCTCACTTGATCCATTCACATTCAGGATTCTCCCCTTGCCCCTTCCTTAAGAAATTATAGGTATATTGGTGCTGCTGATGTTTTTATGTGTGTCTTTTGGGATTTGGTAGTGGTCGAAGCTTCAGCAGGTTTGTCTAAGTCATGCTCATGAATGGATCCAGATTCCACCCATCTTCCCTAAAATCTGATATGAGACTTGTCCTTAGTAGACTTCCTGATGTGCTAGAAGCTATGAGAAATTTGAATTTTATCTGCTAAAATGTTACAAAGATGTTGCCAGAAGCTGAAAAATTGAAAACAATAGTTGCACCTTAAAAATGCCCTTAGCCCATCAAAAGTTAGCTTCAGCTTTTGGGTCACTGCTGTACAAATGGCCTAAAGATTAAATTAAGTTAGAAAATATTCTCCAGTAAGCTCATTTGTATAGTTTGAGTTAGAGCCTTTAAATTAAATGCTATGTGTGTCTTAAATAAATAAACCCCTAAAAAATAATTAGGTGGAATACAGGTAGAGGTACACACTTGGGTTTGAATTGTAGGACAATTTCATTAAGTGGCTTTTGGGAATGTGTTCTGCCAAGACTCCAGAAAATACGAAAAGGGAATGTGAGTGTATTTTCTCAATGCAAAGTAAGTTACTTGTGGTATAATATTACTCTCATCTAATTAAACACCATTCTCAGTCTCTTGTCTCAAATGTGAAACTAAATCTCAATTTGGTAATGTGCAGAGCTCTGAGTGCCAAATCAATGTTGTTTCAGTATTCTCTGTTTCTCTGATAATAGTGCACTAATTGGTCTAAATATATAGGTAGGAAAAAAATTTGAGATTTATGTCCAGGAAACATTTTTATAGCAAGACAAAAGGAAGTGTAATGTTACTTGTTATCATCTTGCTATTTATTTTGCTCTTTTTAGATTGGCCAGTCTGAAGTTTACCTTATCAGTCCTGACACAAAAAAAGTAGCAATTGAAAAAAGCTTTAAAGAAATATCCTTTTGTTCTCAGGTAAGATTGCAGTGTATTCTTTCTCTCTTTTTTTGTTTAAATATTCTCCACTTGTGAATGCTCCTGTTCTCCTCTCTCCTAGCATTTCGAATAGATTCTCACCCCAGCAGTTTCAGTAATTGCTATTGACAAGTTGCTAGTTAATCAGTAATTTTGTGAAACCATCATTCTTTTCTCATGCTTTGCATTGTAATTTCTGAGATAAAGACTCACTTCTGTGTGTGGTGGATGAATAATACAAGCTAGAAGGAACACCCTGGTCAGCTCTGGTTTGAGATTTCAGTGTGCATGATTCACAGTTGTGCAAATCTGGAGTTCTCTGAGCCATATTTTTCAAGAAGTGATAATGAAAGGAGAAAAATGATATGTAAGAGTTATCTGAAAAATACTTCAAAAATACGTTTTTTTCTAGAGTATAAGTTGCATGTGTGTAAAAGGAAACAACCCTCTGCCACACAGAGGTAGTGTGTGTGATGCACTGAGGGTAAGCATGTTTTACAGCCTCCTCATTCACATTAATCCCTGTTCTTTATGTCACAGAGTTTGCTTCCCTGTCCTTCTGCCTCTCATTTTCATGGCTCTGACTTTGATTTTGCATGGATTAGGTGAGGGTGCAATTTATCTAATGACTTATTTCAAGTGGTGATGTTTTGAAAGAGGTGCAACTTCCATGTGCGAAGATGCAATAGTGGCGTTGCGTAGGTTACACAGGCATGTGATTCACGCTCAGCTACTGCAGCGGCTCAGTGGTGTGAGGGCAGAATAGTCACCGTCACATCAAGGACATGGGGCAGCTCGGGCGATTACAGCACTCCTGTATGGTGAGCTGCACTAACTGTTGGCGGGTCCTGTGTACAGGAATGGAGGACTCTTCTGTGAGAGTTGCTCAAATATCAACCTGCAGACTGAAATGACTGATCATAAAGACATTTCATAGACCAGTTGCTTTTGTTAACTAACCGGTGTCAGGATGCAGGGATTTGTCTTTCACTAGCCATTTTCTGTCCTGCAGGGCTTTATTTGTATTTAGTTTGTCTGTGTACCAGATTTGATTCAGTTTAAGTTAATGGGGAAATTGAATTTAATTCATTAAATTAGGATAGAGTCCTCAGATCACATAATTCCTTTAAAACCTGTTACAAATCATTTTGGTTTAAACATCTGAGAAAATAATTTGAACTATAATTGTATAAATAAACTTAAATTGGTTTATTTACCCATTTTTAAATATAGGGAATATGATTTGCTGTTATTTGCTTCTAGCTTTTTTGGATTGGTTTGGTGGTTGGTTTTTTTTTTCTATAAGTGACTTTGTTTTTTAATTTAATGAGGATAGCTTTCATCACTAGACATACAGGTACCTATTCTGAAAATTTCAGAGTAGATGTAAGTGGTTTGCATGCTGTCAGATCAAGAGCTTTGAAGAGAACTCCTTGATCACAGAAAAATCTTTATCCCTATGTTCCCTTAGGACGTCTCCTTAGGCAGGAACTAGTTAGGTAGACTTTTTGACTTGCCCTGAAGGTCAGCAGATGGTTGTGCTCCTTGGAGCAGTAGGAGTGAGATTCTGATTGAATTCTCCCCTCCTGTCTGAAGAATGTGCTACAGGGCAGATGTTATGTCAGTTGGGCAAATATTGGTATTGGGGTACAGAGAGCTTTTCCCCCCAAGTATGCACATTTCAGAAGACGGAACAATCTCATGGACTCATCTTGATCATACAAGAACTTTAATAATCTTTTTTTGAAGGCACTGGATTTAAATTATAAGGGAGATCAGAATCAGTACTTAATTTCCAGAATGTCCAATCTGTCAGTGAGATATCATAATGGCAGAAAGAAGTATGTGGTTCTGGATGGTATCTGAATTAGCTAATCTGAAATAGCTAAGAGCATTTACCAGCTCCTGGTGCCTTGCAGTTTTGTGGGCAGGGCCATGATCTCAGATGGCTCCTTCCACCGTAGCAGTTTGGTTTTCAGGAGAAAAGTTAGAGAGGGGGCTCAGCGCATTCTGTACACATCTCTGATGTGGATGATGGAGGGAGAGAGTCAGCAGGTTGCATCAGCCTGTTCTTGCTTTAATCACATAGCTGCCTCCTGAAATGCTTAGCCTGGACATCCAATGAAGCTAGAGTTGGAGAAGCTGCAGGCTTTGCATCATTAGAATGTCCTTCTGATCTTTTTGTTCTCATGGCGTATTAGTGCCTGATGTTTGTGTAATAAAGCCTTTGTTATCTATGTGTAATTGTCAGACTCCAACAAACCAGGTGTCTTGATACACGTAAAATTATTTTTCTTCATTCAGCTGGCATGCTCTGAAGGTTTATTGTTAGTATTTCAAATGATAACACAACATAGAATCATAGAATCATTTAGGTTGGAAAAGACCTTCAAGATCATCGAGTCCAACCATCAACCATGACCACTAAACCATG